CACCACCACCACCATCACCACCGTCACCACCACCACCACCACCATCATTACTATCATCACCATCAGCCTATTTGTTTGCTAAGAGACAATGTAAGTGGAGTTTTCAGACTCTTCTGCTCTGGTGTCCCCAGATGTGACTTGATTCTGTTACTTATTGGAAACCTTTTGTTTGATGATTCTTTTTTGAGGTATACACATCTATACTCTTGGATGCATCTTTCTTCCTAAGCATTTCTCTTTCTCTTTACTCTTGGGTTTAAAAATGGCTGAATCAACCCCGGATCTGCATAAGAATCTGTGATGGCTGGTCTTTTGTCAACTTGACACACAAACTAGAGTTATCTGAATGGAGGGAACCTCAATTGAGAAGATACTTTTATAAGATCCAGCTGTTAAGACATTTTCCTTCCTTTCTTCCTCCCTTCCTCTCTCTCTCTCTCTCTCTCTCTCCCCTTTTTGGTTTTTCAAGACAGGGTTTCTCAGTGTAAACAGCCCTGGCTGTCCTGGACTCACTTTGTAGATCAGGCTGGCCTTAAACTCACAGAGATCTGCCCGCCTCTGCCTCCCGAGGTGCTGGGGTTAAAGGCATGTATCACCACACCCAGCTTAAGGCATTTTCTTAGTTAGTGATTGATGGGAGAAGGCCCAGCCCACTGTAGGTGGTACCATCACTGAGTAGGTGGTTGGGTTCTACAAGAAAGCAGCTGAGCAAGCCATGGAGTGTGAGCCAGTGAGCAGCATCCTCCATGGCCTCTGCATCAGCTCCTGCCTCCAGGTTCCTGCCCTGTTTGAGTAGTTGTCCTGATTTCCTTCAATGATGAACAGTGATGTGGAAGTATAAGCCAAATAAACCCTTTCCTCACCAACTTGCTTTTTGGTCATGGTGTTTTATCTCAGCAATAGAAACCCTGACTAAGACAGATTCTCTTTTGTTCCTTCGTTTCTTATATGAAGCATTTCCTATTTTTCTACAGCAAAGTTAATGCTGCTTACACTGTCCTGCCCAGTTAGCTCTGACCTGTCTTTCTAGCAACTTCTCTCTTTCCTTACCCTAATGGTTACTCCCAGCCCCCACTTTTGTCTGGAACATGGCTTCCCCTCATCCTTCTGAGCTTTGATCTTGCTTTCCTTTGACCTTGTCTTTTCTGGGAGGCCCCTCTTCCTTCCCAGGAAATGCCTTTCTTTTTGTTAGGTAGCTTCTTCACACATTGACAAAAGGTCCCTTTCCTTCCTGTGTTCGCAGCTCCACTCATGAATCTCCTGAACCTTTAAGTCACAGGGTAGCAGGTGAGTGACTACCAGTCACTCTCTCCTCTCCTCTCCTCTCC